CTTGTGATATTTCCCCACAGTATTACGTGTATGCTTTTCATTAAAAACACTATCTGAGTAATACCCACTTCATTCTCTCTTGCTTCCAATTAGCTAACCATTGATTATTACATAGCAAGCACTTGATCATTAACCAAAGGAAAAAAATATCCTGAGCAAAACAGCCAGAATACCTTACAACTGCTAGCTTGCACCTTCCTTCGTGGGTTTACATATTGCATGATGATTCAAGCAAAATAATAATCGACTTATAAATAGGAGAATGATTCTACTAATTGTTATTTTATTTATTGACTTTTTTGGTACCAAGGATTGAACCCCAGGGTGCTTAATCACTGAGCCATATACCCAGTCCTTTATATATATTTTATTTAGAGACAGAGTCTCACTAAATTGCTTAGGGCCTCACTAAGTTGCTGAGGCTTGTTTTGAACTCTGGATCCTCCTGCCTCAACCTCCTAAGCCTCTGAGATTACAGGCGTGTGCCAGGCACTACTAATTGTTATTAAGAGAGGTAGTGAGGGGTTATTCTGAACATTTTATTCCCATACTCTATAAATATAATTCTTCCAGATGGGACATTAGAGCTAACAACTTGTCTAATACTTTTCTATCGTTGAATGTTGTTATCTACAATATCTTCCATTTTTTAGCCCATAAATCAGAATAAATGATGGTCTTGTGTACTCTTTAACTGGAGAGGAGAGGAGAGGAGGAAGGGGGAGAAAGATTTTTTTTTTTAAGGTATGGTTCTATTTTTCTTCATTTAAGCCCAATTGCTGATTACCTTTAGTATTTAAAGCATCAGGTAGCCCCTAACTGTGGGCTGGGGATCAGAAGGTAACATGTTCAAAGACAAGCATCCTTGGACCCCTATTTTTAAGTACTTGTCTTGAAGACTGAATTCAGGTGCCACTTCTCCCAGGAAGCCGCCCCTACACTCCCTGTGCTGAGCTAAAGGTTACTCTCATGCTAATTCCTGTGCTTCCATCTATAGAAAGCTCACTGCAGCTGATTTTATGCGTCTCCATCCTCACTGAATTGCCAATGCTCATCACCCGTCTTTGGATTTCTAAGAACTTTCTTTGAATCTCTGCACTAAGCACAGTCTAGTCCACAAGAAGCAGACAATGAAAGTTTAGTGAAGGAAGGCATGATTAGTCCTTACCTGTGCCTGTGATCATTGCCACCTTCATTCCACTGCCTCGAACAGCCCTGGTGAGGGCTCCTCTCTTTCTGGCTGTGGTTTCTTCCTCCCTATCTAATGTCTCTGTCTCTCCTCCTCCTCCTCCTCCTCTCTGTATCTTGGTTGAGGAGGCTGACTGGATTGGACCTTTACTTTCAGGTGGCTCTGGGTGGTTTTCTTCTTTCTTCCCATCAGCAAATCCTCTATCTTCTGCCCCATTCTCAATCATGGAGTTGTTCTTTGGTGGGTGAAAAACSGAAATTAGGTAAGAGAATTCCCTATTAATGGGGGCCAATATTACCTTTCCCAGGTACAGTGTCAGTGTATCCACAGGAAGTTTTCACCCACTGTGTGGCTCACCTGAGCTGCAGGAGCTCCTGTGGACATGCAGAGGTGTGCCAGGGATCCTACAGGTCATAGGCTGGGTACATTGTACAACAAAATGATCTGGAAAATAAAATAAATACACATCTTTTGTATAAAGATGAAGATGATATCTTCAGAAATGGAAGGTCAAGTTCTTTATAAAATTCCTAAGTTAAAATGAGACCTTGGAAGTACTTTAAGACTATGTACCCCTTGGTGCTATTAACTTTATGCTGCCCCTCGTTTCAAGAGGTATAAATTTATTCCCCTTGGTGTTGAGACAAGTTTTGGGGAAAGGCTTGGGTAGCATCAAGGGTATAGATTGGACGTTCATATCATATCTCAAAGACTGGTGACCACACATTGATAATTGGCAGGTTAGCGCTGAGGGCAGCATGCTGCATTCCCCGTGTTCTTAGCAGATTCTTAGGTAGATGGGTCATTTGAAGGTAAATCATTCATCCATTTGATGGCGGACATTGTGCCTCTAACCATCTTTCCATCCATCCAACATCTGCCATAAATTCAACACTGTTCTACGTCTAGAATAACGATGGGATGGAGTTGGCAGTTTCTGTTCTTGAGGAGTGCACAATCTGGCAGAGAAAACACATTAAAAAAAGAACAGTGTTATTAAACACACTGGTGGTATTAAAACGTGAGAATAAGTGTTATAAAGTATTTGAGAGAGGAGCATAGTGTTCTGACTGTTGTCACTAATTAGCTCCTGCAATATTGGAAAACTACTAATTTTTATTTACTGCCTCAGAATTTTTTCTTTTCTTTTTTTTTTTTTTGTGGTGTTGGGGATCAAACTCAGGTCCTCACACATGTTAGGCAAGTTTATACCACTAACCTATATTCCCAGACCTTAATTTAAAAAATAAAGGTATACTTTATACTTGTCCTCTGTCCCAGCTCTGTGAGATTCTGAATATTTTCTAGGAAAGAATGAGGTCTGATTTAGGAGTTCATTATGAAAACTTCCAAGGAATGGTATATATAAATTATAAAGGTCCATTTGGTATTTCAAAGATATTGAAGGTACTATCTTTTTATTATATTCTTCTATGGAATTATAAAGTCTTTTTGAGAATTAAATAAAATAAACACACATAATTGGTAATGCTTTAAAAACCTATATCCCACAATATTGCTTTGGAATTTGTTTAAGCTTCCTTTATTTTCCCCTCCAAAATCAAAGCCAGTCTTCTACCTTCTTCTCTCACACTCTATCTTCCTTCCAGCAAATATTTGATTGAATTCCAATCTAATTGAATTCCAACAGTATAATATGTATGGTAGGAAAGTCAACAAAAGTCATATAAAGCTATTAAAAATACATTTCAGAAACAAATTCACCAGACTCCATTTTACTCAACTACAACTTGTTAGGTAAATGCCTGCCTGGTCCAGTGAGGTTCTCTTGTCCTGAGTCATGACAAGTACACAGATGACAATCCTTTTGCAGTGGGCTTCAGTATAATTCTCTGCATTCTGCAGAAAACCTTACCTTCTTTCAAGATTCAGGAAGGAACCATTTCAATTAATATAGTAGAAATTGGCAAAGCCCTCTGGGAAATTGCAGATAAAATTTTATAGTAGAAATGTCACTAGAAAAATCCTCTGCTGCCAAGATTTTAACCACAGGAGGATTCCTGCCTTCCTTAAAGTGGTTAAACATCCTCTGGTGCTTGCAGGAAATCTTTAGTAGTGTGGCTGTGTTTGAGGGGTCCTGTATATCCTTAGGTTTCCTCATGAAAACGCCTGGGTCCCCACACATGGCATCGTTTGCTCAATCTATGCCCTGATGATGCCCTAGCATGTGGGACCCTGTGTCTACGAGGGGGCTCYCAAGTTCTCACTGCCAGTCAGTGCACCAAGAACACAGCAGCCTCAGAGGAGTAAGCTGCAAGGAGAACAGGGAGAATAGGAATTCTTTTGTCCCAGTTTACAATGGTCTTCTCCAGCAGGTCTATTATTTGATTAAAAAAAAAAAGAAGTAAAAAGAAATGGTTTATTAGGAAGCTGCCCTGTCCTGCAGAGCAAAGCCAGATGGCAGATCTCTTGAGGGACAGAGCAAGAAGTAAGTATTCATTACCAGGTTACTCAAGGCAAAACACGTTTTACCACTGCTTGAAASCAGGGTGATAACTTTTCTTTCTGGAGATTCAGTTTCCTCACTCCAAACTTCTACAACTTCTTGTGAGGGAAAGAGGCTCCCTGGGGGGGGGGGTGTTAGGACTCCCTGGAGGTGACCTCCGGAATCTCTTGAAAGCACAGTATCCCCTTGCAAGCAAAACCCTGAAACATCTCTGATTTCTTCACACTTACAGCTACTTTTATTTTGCTACCCTGATGTTGGCATTTCATAAGAGTGACCTCGAGTGCACCCAAGTCCTTAGTTTGACTCCATATTAGAGAATCCACAATGAACTCAACTGATGAATTAAAGGCTATAGTTTGGCTTGAACAGACTGCTTTTTCTTAAAGAATCGGTTATCTTTCTTTCTTAAAGAATCAGTTTTTTTTTTCCTTAAAATTTTTTTTTTTGAATGAGTCAGCACATTAACAAAAATCCTCCAGAGAATATTTGCCAACTCTCCATCCAGGTGGGATATGAAGATTAAAATGAAGTTATCTTCAAAAATATATAGAATGTATTCATGAACTTCCTGATGTGATTAAAATTGTGTGTAATAAGATCTTGGAAATTTGATCAATTTAGCAATTGTATTGGTAACAAAAATAATGCTATTAAGTTTGGTTGTCCAAAATAATTTCGTTTTCTTCTTCTTTTTTTAACCCAGTGTTGGAAACCCTTTCTAAATGTAAACGTTATTTCAACAACGACAACAACCAACTGCTTACACGATGACACCATTGACCTTAGAATCACAGGCTGTGGGAGTTGTGGGGTCTGAGAGTGAATCTCATCCTGCCCCTTGCTTGCAAGACAGTCTGTAGCTGGGATGCCAGTAGCCATTCAAGGTCTTGCAGCTGAAGGATGACAGAGCCAAGCCAGGACAGTTAGCCTGGGTCCACCCGCTGCCCCTCCTATCATACCAGGCTGTTTCCTTGATTAACAATTTCATTATGGAAGTGGATGGACACTTGGACATATGTTTACTGACTCCAGGACAAGAAAAACTCTTCTTGTAATTGTCTCTTTCTCCTTATAGTGGGACATGGCAAATTTCAGCTAGAGGAAATATCTAATAAATTAAAATGTTAAGGTATGCCTAATCTTGTTTTACCATCCTCTGAATGAGGTAGCCTCTGGTGGGGGAAGGGATCTCCAGATGTTCTGAATGTTTCTGTCATTTGGAAATCATTGCACAATGGCTAAATTCACCAGGTGACTACTTACCATCTGGTGTGGGACAGATATGTCACAGAACTACTAGAGTACCTTCCGTGATTTAAACAAATGCACAAAAWTTTTTTTTTCAAATGTAAAATGCTCTCTTTTTAATTACTAAATTAAGAAAGTTAAACAATTTAAAAATGTAAACTCACAAATAAATCATAACAAAAAAGGAATTAAGACTTCAGAGTTGCTACTCAGTATTAAAAACTCAATAGAAATAGGATTTTTGATTTGTTGTTAAACATATGTCATTCAAGGTTGGTACAAACAGCAACTAAAAAGTCATACTTTTTTCTTTTTTTTGTGCATCCCCATGAAATGTAAAGTAGTGCATAGTTATTTCACTGGAGAACTCTCGGACATATAGTCATTCATTAGCAGTACAGGACATTTAAAACACTTATTTTACAACGGGACATGTACAACCCCCCACCCTCACCTTCCCCATAAATTTTAGTTGCATGAGAAAGTTTAGTAGGTTGCCGTGACTACAATGCTATGGGTTTTAGATCATTTAAATGTGGTTACAAGATTTATTAAATTAAAAACATTTGAAACATTTCGGCATTCATATTTTTATACAAGAAGGTTGTATGGTATCCATCTTCCAGTTCTCTTGGTAGAATTGGCTGTTGGCTTGCTTAAATATGCTCACTTCTAAGTTTCAAGAACAAATCGCTGTAAGTTGGAGCAAATACTGGTAATAAGAACTTTCGAACTCAGCTTGGGGGTGGTCCTGAAAAGAGTCAAAGTAACAACCATCTACAGGTACAGTCATGAACCAAAAAAATGCAATCCAAATGAAGAAAGAAAGAAAAAAGAATCATGCTTTGCAAAAGCCAAAAATGAGGCCACTGGTTTTCAGAATAACACCAGTGATTTGATGCAGATTTTGTAGTAAAATCCTCACTCTGGGTCCCACAGCTTTGTGGCCCAGGCTGGCCACGGTCTCCACGTTAGCACCCACATGGTATATGTACAGGGACATATATTATATATTCATATTTATAAAAAAGAAAAAAAAMCAAACACCTGTCCTGATTGGTTTTTGTTAAAACATGAAAAAAAATTTTATTGTTTTAGACAAAGAGGCCACTTTTGGAAAATAATACTTTTTTTTTTTTTTTTAGTTGAATCAGGTGAAGACAGAGTTAAAATCACATAGGATTTGCATTTTAAAAAAAGGAAAGCACTAGGATTGTTGGCACTGGAGTAACTATTTACACTGAACAGAGGTTTGGGCTTTTACATAACATCGATACAATGCATTTTCCAAAGTCTGAGAAATAACAAGGTTCTGTCTCGTTTGCTTCACAGAGGAGGTTCGGATTTGGGGACAAGTGTCATTAATGAGGGCCATGGAAGTTCATCAGCTTCAAAGTCACATGCAATCTGATCCTGGACGGTTCTCACTGCTTGGGCAGCTGGCTACGGAATTRAAAGCTAATGGGGAGGGGTGGGGAAGCCTCTGGGACAAGGCCTCTCTCTGTAGAGCTGGCTCTCACAGGTTTTCACCAGGTTGATACTGGGGCTCTGTGGCCGTAAAGTAGTCTTCCAGGAAGCCCTGCAAGTATTCAAAAGTGGGACGTTCTTCGGGGTCCTTTTTCCAGCAGTGGATCATGAGCTCATGCAGAGAGATGGGGCAGTCCTGCGGACAGGGCATCCTGTAGCCGCGCTCCACCTGCTCCAGCACCTCCCGGTTGTTCATGCCTGCAAAGACAAGGGCAGTGAGAGTGGGCGCCTCCTGCGCTCAGGCCCTGACCCCGMGGCCGGAGCTCCCCTTTTTTCTTCTTTGAGCCTGCATGTGGTTAAAACATGGGGAGGGCACCCACCCCGACCAGGAGTCAAATCCTGCCTTCAATGGGATATCATATCACGCAGAAACAACAAAGGAACACAGAACTCACATAGGCAAAAACCCAGACGATGAATCTCAAAAGCATCCTAAGTGAAAGAAGCCAGACACAAAGGGCAGCATACTGTATGCTTTCATTTATGTCAAATTCTAGAAAAGGCAGAGCCCTACATGGATAGAAAGCAGATCAGTGGTTGTGGGGGTGGGGGGAAGGGGGATGCCTGCAAAGGGTCAGAGGGAACTCTGGGGTGAGCRAGATGCTCTGTATCAGCGGCCGTTACACTTTTCCTGTAAAGGGCCAATGGCAAATGATTTTAGCTCTGCAAGCCGCATATGATCTCTGTCATCTTCGATTTTGCAACCCTTGAAAAAAGCACAAAGCCAAACCAGTCTGGGAGCCAGACTTGGCCCACAGGATGTAGTCTACCATCTCCTATTCTACAGTGTGTATTTGATGATGGGGCTGTTTGTCGAAACTCATTGAAGTGCATTTTTTAAAACTGAATTTTTTTTGGGTACGTAAATTATACTTCTGTTGAATAGACCAAAAAAAAAAAAAAAAAAGAAAAGAAAACAACCCATGGAATGAAAGCATACTGCCCTTGTTTTTATAGCATCTGTAAGCCTCGTTTATGAATTTCATAAGTTAGTTTATCTATGTCTGGGCAAACTCTGAGTGCTCCACTGTCTGAGATCTGCCCATCATGCCAATATTGCTGGGCACCGTCTGGTCTGGTGGCCCCACAGTGCCCTCTATCATTTGAGACCTTTCTTGACCCTCTAAGGGAGCTGCCTAATGTTGAAAAATCAGGATAAGCAGCATTAAAATAAGACGCCGAGGGAGATCGYTCGTCCTGTAGATAACGCAGCCTCCCCCATGTTGGCCTTCTTGACAATACAGGAAACGCCACTCTTGGAGTGAGATAAACGCCATGACCCCTTTCCCAACTACTGCCAGATATCATTCTTCAGTTCTCCCCCCCCATGTTCTTTTTTTTTTTTTGCTATATCACGTTCTCCCCTCTCTCTGCCAAGACTTTGTATATTTTGGCCATGAGCCTGTGATCTGGAATCTTCTCTAACTTCTGACCCAGTTCATTTTCAAAAGCAAGAATCTGATTTCAAGCCACACAGTCGACTTCTCCCCATACCTCTTAGGGCTATCACCAGCAGGAGAACACAACAGAGGCATACAGCTCCCTTTAGTTCTGGGGGAGAAGGGAACCCATGAGCCAGAAACATCGGCTTGGTCAGAGGTGCCSGGTCCAGGGCACAACCCTGTCCCGCTGGGTAGGGGACACTCAAGATTTTTGGATTTGTAGTCAGTTCCCTTTGTTGTATTGCTACTTTTGGARCTTGGTGTATCCTGGTTCCTCCTGGCTGTCAATCATGGCCCTGTCAGTCACCTGTGTGTCCAAACCCTTTTAGGATGTTTCTTATACTCAGTCGTTAAACATTTCTTGGGRTGTTAAAACCCAGATACTATTTCTGCTGTGTTGAAGTGGGCCTTTAATATAAGTGTTGTAAAATGGCCCCGCCCTCCTGTCAGGGCAGCCCCTTGCTTTAGGGAGAGAGCTATAGTGCAGGAGTGTGAGACCTGCCTGGCACCACAACTCCCTTCATACTTCACGTGGCTGTTGAGGGAGAGAGGGCAGCCCTGCAGCTAATTAGCTTAAGTCCTCCTCCAACTGCTGAAAACCCAGGATCCGGGGCAAGGAGCTGGAGGAAAGGGGAGGTGCCTGGAGCTGCTGGGATCTTTCCAGCCAGATGGGGTCAGGGACACAGGCCAGCATTTCCTGATCCATGACTCCAAATCCAACTAGCTCTGAAAACCAGAAAGTTTTTGTAACTTACTTGGCAGCAAAACTCATCTGAACTGGCCACAAAACCTGATGCGAGGCACTTGACTGTTTTCATTTCCTCATATGTACTGCTGCCCCAGACTCTCTGAGGGTGTTATATAATGCACAGTCTCTGCACTGCACTGATTTTCTAAAAAAATGTCTGATTCCAAAGCAAGTCTGCTCCCAAGGGTTTAGTTGGGAAGCCTTGGCAAGAGTGACGGCAGCTTCCACATCCCAGGCAGCTAGGAGGATAGGTGTTCTCTAAAGCATTTGCTTTGCTGCATATTTTAGCAGAATCCTTAGTGTCATAATGTTTCAGAAGCCACAGAGCCTTGGCCTGCAGGAATTCCCTCTGTCTGCACCCCTGCCAGGAGACTGCAGGAATGGGAGGAAAGACAGGCAGAAGGCCCGAAGCTCAGATGGGTTGACAGGTGATCCTGGAGGTGGCTACAACCCCCCAAAATGCCTCCCGAGGCTTTAATCTGGCACTGAGATTCTCCATCCAAAATGCACCACAGAGTTTAATTAATCACCCTCCCATTGCTCTGAGGAGGTGATGTCAGTAAATGTTTCATTTCACTAAAAAACAAACTACTCAAATGGAAACATTGCCTCCCCCCATTTTTTTTTTAAACTCTTAATTCAATCTCTGCCAATGGAAAGTTTAATTGGCCACTTGGGTCAAGCCTATTTTTCCAGTGCTCCATCCAAGACTAGGACATAGCAGATGTGGCAACTTGAATCTCGGCGTGTAGCATCTCCTGAGGGAGCTTGCTTCCTGGGCAGCTTCRGCCAGGACTGGGGCTGTAGGTACCTGGTCTGTGCAGGAGGCTGCTGGGGTCACGCCATCAGCTCACGCGCACACTCCTCGATCTCCTCTCCTGGCTGCATCCCTCTCCTCCTCCCACTCCTCCTTTCTCTTCTCAAGCCTTCTTCTCCACAGGCCCCTCCAAGCATGGGGAGCATATGTAAGCAATTCCATGTACGGGGCCAAGTCAAAGCATACCAGTGACAGCATTGCCAGAAAAGTAGGATATTTGACACTGCACTTGGCTGACAATGACAACTGGAGTGGGACTCGCTCTTTCTAACCACTCAGAGGCCAAAAGCCACATGGGCTGACCTGCAACAATCAAGATGTGCCTACTCAGCAAAGCCTGGGCTACTTTTTATTTTATCAATGGTACCTCAATTAAACGGATCATTAATATTTTTTCTTAAAATAGTATTCTCTGCTATAAGAACTTTGGAAGTCTTGTTTATCTTGATAATTTTTAGCAAAATAGGTTTTGTCTTCATACTATAAAGATGGGTCTATTTCATTTTTCAAAAGATGGTTTCATATTTTTTTAGAAACTGTTATTTCCTGTCTTTTACCTAACACCTAGGAAGCAAAGGGCAATGGATGAGAAGGGGACAAAAGTGAGCCTGGGCCGTGGGAAAGCCAGGAGAGAGGTAGGGAAGAGGGTGCTGGGGAATGTCTTTCCTCTTTTTCAATTTTTAGTGGGAAGAAGGCCAGGGGAGAAACAGAAGAGACAAAATCTGAAACACAGTCACTTTAGGGACACTGTCATCAATAGCTTGGGCCTCTARGTGTCCTATGGGGGGGATGAAATGGAGGCTATTTTTCAACAGAAGGGGCAGTCCCCACCAGCCAGGGATGCCTGACTGTGGGAAACACCATATTTACAGAGTGCCCGGTGCCATTCTGCTTTCCAGCCTCCTGGTCAGAGAAGAGGCTCAGGGCTGGGCAGCCAGCAAGCACAGAGACCACCATAGGCCTCTGTCCTAATTCYCTCCTCTGTCCTCCAGCCCCAAGGGAGCAGCCTGCCCCACCTCACTGGAGAGTGGGCCATTTCTGAGGGACACTCATAGGATGTAACTCAACAGGTACTCAGTTCACAGAGAACCTCCACAGTCTGCTGTTCAGGGGTCTCTCTTCAAATCCTCCTCCACAGGAGCCTCCTTGGATTTTTAGACCTTCAAACATGGTTGTGCTCTCAGTTGGTTCACCCCAGAGCACTGAGGCCAAGTGGTCGGCATGCTCCTGCTGCCGTTATGATGATGTCATCCTTTCTGAACATTTTACTGGCTTCCTCCAGCAAACTAGAGGATAAGTTTCCAACTTGCATTTTTAAACCCTTATTCTGCACGGCTGCCMAAACCATGGTCTCTCACATGCGTGCATGTGTTCTTTCCCCTTATCTCCTTTTCTGTCATTCTTTTTCTTATAAACATCCCGATTCCTCTTCTTTGAGCCGTAGAACCTTGCCTTTCCCCCCCCAGTTTCTTTAGAAAAGGAATAAAAATTGCTTTTATTGACAGAGCGCTGAATGCGCTGTCACTTGTTGACTTCAGACTGCATCTCTGTAGGTTACCTGACTTCCCCTGGCCTCTGTTTCTTCATTTGTCAACCAAACAGCTCAACATTCACAGTGTTTCAGCTGTTGGAGAAAAATGTCTTCTAGGAAAGAAGAGCTTTTGGGGCTGGGGTTGTGGCTCAGCGGTAAAGTGCTCTCGCCTAGCACATGCGAGGCCCTGGGTTCTATCCTCAGCACCCCATATAAATCAATAAAATAAAGCTATTGTGTCCACTTACAACTAAAAAATAAATATTAAAAAAAAGAAAGAAGAGCTTTTGTGTTTTATAGCTTTCCATTTGTATAGCWTCCCAATATGGACCTTGGAGGGGCTACATCTGCATAATCAAGGGTTTCAACTGTTTTCTATTCATATTTGCATCTGGATTGGACTATAAGCTGCATGAACCTGGGCTTTTGTGTCATGTGAGTAATTAATCCTTTAACAATGGGAATGATATTCAGGTTATTAGACATCGAATTTCTTTTGCAAAYTGAGCTTTCTGTTCCAAGGAAATGACACTATATTGAATTTGAGGGGCATCTTGATTCTCTGCATAAATCCGGTARAAAGCTCCTTCTGTTTACTGGGCTGTTCAGTGATGCTGCTGCGCTGGTGCCAAGAGGAGGGAGGGCTCAGTGGGTGGTGCT